GGTCGTTTCTGTGGGGTCAGTGGTAGTATTTTTTTTTATGATTTTTTCTTTGTGTCTTTTTGATTCTTCTCTTTTCTTTATTATTCCAGCTAGTGGTCTACATTTTTAACTAAATAATAATAAATCCTGGATTTATTTTTGAAATGTTTTTCATGTCTCTGTCTCCAGTTCCTCTCTGATCTTGGTTATTTCTTGTTTTATGTTAGCTTTGGGGTTTGTTTGCTCTTGGTTTTCTGTTTCTCTTAGTTGTGATGTTCGGATGTCAATTTGACACCTTTCTAGCTGTTTGATGTGGGCCTTTAGTGTTATAAATCTCCCTCTTGACACTGCTTTAGCTGTGTCCCAGAGAATCCGGTATGTTGTCTCTTTGTTCTCACTAGTTTCAAAGAACTTCTCGATTTCTGCCTTGATTTCATTATTTATCCAAAAGTCATTCAGGAGCAGGTTGTTCAATTTCCATTTAGTTATATGGTTTTGAGTGAATTTCTTAATCTTGAGTTTGAATATGATTTCACTGCTGTCTGAGATATTTTTGTTATGATTTCAGCTATTTTGCATTTGCTGAGTATGTTACTTCTAATTATGTGATTGATTTTCAGGTAAGTGCCATGCTGTGCTAAGAATGTATATTCTGTTATCTGTGGGTGGAGAGTTCTATTGATATCTGTGAGGTCCACTTGATCTGTGGCAGATCGTGTCTAGACTGCCTCTTTAGGCTGGACCCTGACTGATTCCTCCTCACTGGATGGGGCCTACCTGCAGGAATTTCAGCAACTTCAGGCAGGTGTGTAGGGACAGAGTTCTGATCTCACTGGGGTTGAGCCCTTTGCAGGAGGGATGACTGCAGTCTCCACGGATCAATAGACTTAGTCTTTCTTCCTTGTGGCTCTGAGGAATCTAGGCAGTCCAGATGTATGGGAGTCCCCCATCACAGTGCAGTTCCTCTACCAAGGGGCAGTCAGAGTGCTTTGTTAAGAGGTCCTGGATCTTATGCCTCCTGACTGGGTGAGACTCTCCAACAGGGGTCACCAGATACCTTTTACAGGAGCCTTCCTGCTAGCATCAGGTCAGTTTCCCTCTGGGATGGACATCCGGGAGGAAAGAGCAGGCAGCCATCTTTGCTGTTCTGCAGCCTCCACTGATGACACCTCCAGGTGTGGGAGGGACCCAAGTGAATAGGGTCTGAAGTAGATCCCCAGCAAACCACAGCAGCCCTACAGAAGAGGGGCCTGACTTTAAAAGAAAAATCAACAACAGAAAGCAGCAACAACAACAGCATCAACAAAAATGTCCCCACAGTCAGTCATCAGTTCAGTCTTTGTACATACTCCCATAGTTCTTGGAGCTAATACAGAGATAAAACTTTGAACCATGCAACACAATTCTAAACACTAAAGCTTATTGAACAAATAAATATAACAGAATAAAAGCAGGATTTGTGAGCATGTAGAATGAGGCTAATATGACAACTTCTTGTGCTTTGACCTGTAAGAATGTGACCTTTTCTCTTTTGTGTATTTATTTTTAATCCTCTAGTTACCTTCTCTCACCTGAGCCCTCTATACCTTGCTCAGTTTTAATAATATGAATGAGTACATGAGACCACTTTGGAACTTTCTGTTTGTGTAAGTATACATTCAAAAATACAAAAATATTTCTTAGCATTCAAAGCTAATACTATTCAAGAATATTCTCTATACTAAGATTGTTTCTGACTTTGATTTGTGAACTGCTTCCCCATCTACACCCTCCCCTAAAATACATTCTGAGAAATATATATATGTGTGTGTGTGTGTATATGTATGTATATATATAAATGAAGTCTTGTCCCATCGTCCAGGCTGGAGTTCAGTGGCACCATCTCAGCTCGCTGCAACCTCCACCTCCCAGGTTCAAGCAACTCTCCTGATTGAGTCTCCTGAGTCGCTGAAACTACAGGCATAGGGCAACAGGCCCGGCTAATTTTAGATAGAGACGGGGTTTCACCGTGTTGGCTAGGATGGTCTTGATCTCTTGATGTCGTGATCTGTCTGCTTTGGCCTCCCAAAGTGCTGGGATTACAGGTGTGAGTCACAGGGCACGGTCTGGAATATATATATATTTATATATAGTAGACATTTTAATGTATCTTTATGTTTGAAATATAGCTTAAGAAATGGACTTAACCAATCTAACCATCATATCACGTTTGTCTATCAAAGACCGAAAAGTAAATCTGTTTTGAAGTGAGGCATAAATTCTTAAGAAAATAACGTGATTATCACGTGTTTTTGAAGAATAGTACAAGAAGTTCAAAAAAACAAATGACCAAGTTTTTAAAGTTAATATTTGCCTATGTATAATTGCAACGAAATGTGCAAAACATAGAAAGATAACCTTTTAAACAATCATGTCAGATATAAAATTACCAGAGATGATGCATCTTTCAAAGCATAAAGCTTTCCTCGAATTAATGTCTATATTTGACCTTCACATATATCACTCTCCTACAACATTAGGTTGCTCCACAGCTGAATTCCATTTAGCTATGACTCAGTGCCTTATTTACTTCACTGATTGTATTAAGCCTACACAAATCATCAGAAAGCTTTAATTTGGCCTCCACAGGCTTTCTCTGCTTCCCAGAAATGGTAACAAGGTATTTTAAATCCTCCCAACCCTAAGTACACATGTTGCAACATCACTACTATTTGCCAAATAAATTACACTACATGTATAATTCTCATCTTCCTGTGCTGACTAGCAGAACCAGCCCAAGGAAAGAGAGAGAGGGAGAGAGAGAGGGAGAGAGAGAGAGAGAGAGAAGCAAAAGCATTTAATTCTATGTTTTTAAAACCACAGCATTCAAAATCTTGATAAGGAAAGTCCCATATGGGCAAAAATATGTCGCTGACTAGGCAGGTAATAAGGTTAGACTCAGAGGTATCCATGGGAACCACTAATAAAACTACTAGAATATGTTCGGGAAGGAAATACTGGAAAGGGGTGAAAACTTACTGAGGGACACATGCAATGTTACTAAATCATCACATACAACACTGTCATTAAAATTATAATTAGATTAGTGGAAGAACCTATCTACCATAATTATAATCCCATATAATCATTACACAATAATCACATAATCATATTAATGCCATGGAGTATATATTTATCCTCATTGTACTGTGAAGAAACTGAGGCTCAGAAATAGTAGGTGTGAGGGCACACAGATAATAAGATGTAGAGCGGAATTCATACATAAAGGCAGGTATCTAATTCCATGGCTCATGAACTTAATATCTATGTTTTTCCCTGCAAGGTAAATGATGCCAATCTTAAGATTTACATACCAAACTAAATGTAGACATTTTGAGTGTCTGCAGTATAATATGGAGAATCAAGGATTAAAAAGGGGCTAAATAAACTGTTTTAAAATAGCACTATACTGGGAGAGCATAAAGAAGAGAGGTACACATAGGTCAGGACCTAACACAAGGTTACAGAATAAAGGCCAAATTAACCAGGACAGCCAATGGAGAGCACAACAGTGTGCAGAGTAGTTGGCAGAAGGCTAAATGTTCACAGTCACCCAAAAGGTACTGGCTGATTCATTTTCTTTTTTTTCCCCCAAATATGCAATTTTCTATTGCACGTTGGCTTATTGCGTGTTCCTTTTAAAAGAGAGCTTTTCTGTAATAATTCTTTTGAAAATTATAAGATAACAAAGTATTGCATGAGTCCCAAAAGACTTCATAATTTGATTCCCATAAACCTCATTACACTTGTCATGGACAACAAAAAATAGGTGTTAAATGTGAAAGTAATTGTCAGCTTGCTATTTCTTGTCAAATTAACCAAGTAAACTGGATTATATAAAAGTTGGGTGTAGAAAATTGTGATAACAGATTGAAAATTCCAAATATACTGAAGTCATCATTGGTTTGTCAATATGAACTTAAACTACTTTATAACTACGTACTGATCTCTCGTTACAACTGTAGAGTGTAGGTAAATGTGGTTTTTAATCAAATAAACCAGACATTCAGAGTTACTTTAAGATATATAGTGATTCCTCTAATGAGTTAGTATCATAAAAGACTGATTAAAAGTGAATTATGTTACCATATCCATACACCATACATACAGTCATAGAAGAATACAAGAAAGTGATGTGCTATTATTAGGAGAAAAGAATTGGTAGCGGAAAGAACACAGACAACAAAAGAACAAATCTTTACTTCCTTTAAACACAGCTTTCATAGAATGCTGCTAAAGGCTCTTTCATAGAATGCTGCTAAAGGCTCTTCCAAATAAAACAAAATCCAGAGCAGCACAAATTGCTAAAATATATATTTTATGAGGTAACTCACACAACAGATCACAACTGTAGATAGTGAGGTAAAAGTCCTCGAAGCACAAAGGCTATAAAATTGTGATGTAGAGATCTGTAAATATCTGAATTTCAGTCTATTCACTGTAGTAGAGACCTGTTACTTCAAGAGTATGATATCGAATGAGATAAGGGAAAGACTCACACATACAGCAGTAAAACAACAAATAACAGGAAAAAAGATTAGACTATGCAGTTTGTATCTTCATTAATGTTTTGTTTAAAAGTAAAGTAATAAACTTTTTTAAGAAAGAAAATACCTCACTTTCCTGAAAAGTATATTTTAAAAATTAGACTATTTTGTTCCTTTCTATTAACACAATTAAACCCCAAGTTAAATGCAGAGGGGAACGGCATGCTTTTTCACGGTTAAAAATCCACAGCTTTCCTCAAATACATTTTTATTCCTGGAGTTACATGCTGTGTTCTTTTTTTTTTTTTTTTTTTTTTTTTTTTTTTTGAGACGGAGTCTTGCTCTGTAGCCCGGGAGTACTAGGCATTTAATAAGTACTTGAATAAATTAATTTGACTGAGTAGTCTCAAAATTAGGAGATAGATAGATATATATATATATTTTTTTTAATTGCTCTTAATGGTAAATTCTGTAATGGAAAAGGTTTGTGTGAGCTTTTTTTTTTTTTTTTTTTTTAATGCATGTTGGTGTTGTCTCTAACAAGCATAGAATTGTTTATACTTTAATATTACATTGATGATGGACACTAAAGAGCACACATTAGATAGATTCTAATTCCAGACCTTGTGGACCAGTCTTTAGAATGTGACAGGCAAAGAGAAAAAGTAATACAGGTTTTGGCAGGAGATTGCTGGAGAAAGGACCAAGCTAAGTATCTTCACTCATAGAGGAAAACACGTGATTTAGTCACTGAATAGACATCCAGTATCCCTCCTGATGTGCAGATGTTTGGAGATGGCCGTTCCACAGCATGATTTGTTCCTTCTACCAATTCATTCACACATGTAGATGGTCCAGAGTTAACCAGAGCACTGGGATGGACACTGGGACTCAAAGCACAATCTTGACTTTGATGTGGGAAGGAAAGTAGGAATGAAAACAATGAATAAATGAACAAATGAATGAATGAAAATGAATAAATAGAATCAGACCTACATGATTTCCTAGTTTTGTTTCTCAGCTCCCACAGACAACAATTCTCAAGTTTAGTTTATTGTCAGACAATTCAGAAAATAACCTGGAATTGAAGTTATCAAAATTGGTCCAGGAAACACAGGCTTTTGGGGAACACAAACTGTAGTATTATGCTAGGAAGTTTGCAGAATCCAGTGTAAGAAGTTTGAAATTAGCAGATTTTTCTCACAGTAAAATGTCATATTAAAGCAGCAGGCATATACATGAAATATAAGTGAGACTTATCCCTGAGAAAAAGTGTCAAATATCGCAACCACATAAATCATTCTATTTACATCTTCTTTGGACTAGACTATTTAGATTTAATCAATGACACCTGAAATATTCACCATGGCTGGTAATGTGTTTTGGAGATGTTCTTTTTCATAATTATATTTCCTTACACTTTTTCTGATTGTGCTAATTTCCTATCATCAATTTACACACATGAAATAAATATTTATGTATTTTTATAACTATAAAAGAAATGAGATGGGTAACATAAACCAAAAATGAATGCAGTTTTATTGTTTTATAAGCATAATCATATACAGGTAATTATTTTAGAAGATATATGAGGCAGATCCAATTGAAATCATTTTATTAAAGTAAAATGTTTACCTTTTAAAAGAGCAGTGTGTAAACAACACTGGTGTTGAAGTAGTCTTAAGGTTGACCAGACTGAAACTTGCAAGATGATCTCTCTTAACTACAACTGGTTTTTCTATATTAAAAATACCATTGATTTTGTGTTCATATTTCCAGCATCACAACAGTTTAACTTTAATGAATCCCATTACTGTATATTACAATAAAAGTTTGTTTCTTTGAATTGTACTTTGATATATTGATTCATATTTTTAGATTTCAAAAAGCATTGGACATTTTTTCAAAAACCTTGTGTTTTTGAACTTTAATGATGTTGTTTATAATGTTTTGCAATACACAAAAAAGTATTATAGTTTAATATGTTTTCTTTCAAATAGATTAATTTGTGACATTATAGTATAATTCTGCCCTTATATGCACTATGCAGCTTATTTTTAGGTATTTTTCTAACAAGAGAAATTATTTCAAAATTGTTTATCTGAATCTTGCCATTAAATATCAAAGAATGATGCTTCGCTTCCTTCTTAATACATCAAATACATGTGAGAATTATATATGGATCCATACTTCATTCACCTTTTGACTTGAGGATTTCTACAAATATACCACCCTTACATTTCCTGACTTTGTTTTCTTATAAATTTCCACCTTTCATGGCCCATCTTATGTTCATCTCGGCTAAGAGCTAACAGCAATAAGTACTGTTTTCAGAAATGACAGCAGTGTTTTTCACACCAGACATTTGTACATTTATGCTAAATGTCGTACATAGATTCCACAGAAGAAAAAATCTGTAAGAGAAAACAAAAAGAGTAACCTATGAATAAAAAGAGTAACCTATGAATAGCTACTTTGGTTCAGGTTAAGGGAATCAGCACAAGACCCTTTGGATTCTAGTGGTAGTAAATGAGTGCTGTGGGTTGTGGGGATTAGTTGAGTGAGGTGGCAGAACAAACAATTGTTCTTGTTTGGATGGATACCCATTCAAAAAATGGATACGCTATATTTATTTAATCTATTTTAAAGTCAGACACAGAAAAACTAGGAGGCAATTTCGGCAACATGAAACCTTCTCTAAAGGGACACTAAATAATCATCGTTTCTATAAGGTTCTAATTCTAGAACTGTGTTCTCAAGGTTTATAAAACCACAGGGATGAAAGCTACCTTAAAAATACATTATATTCAGATTCCTTCATTTTTTACAGACGAGGAAAACCAAGGCCAAAAGAACAACATTGATTTAGATAATGTAACTGGTCTTTATCACCTAGATTGAAATTTTCCTACTATTCCATAATTGAACATAAATAATAAACAGCAAATAAATATCAAAACATAAGTCTGCTACTTTTTTGAGTCCTTACAGTACTTACTGAAGTCCTATAACACATTATGCTATCTCGTGTGTGTGTGTATATATATGAATGGGTGGTTATAGTTATTAGATATAGCAAGAAAAATACTGGACTAGTCATGTAAAGGAGGTCTTGGTTTAGTTCTTTTTCTGCTACACACATGCCTGGTAACCCTAGAAGAACTAGGGAGAATTACTTAACCTCTCTGGGTCTCAATTATTTCATCTAAATTGTGAAAATATTCAACCAGATTTGTATAATTTTCCACTGCTATAATTCTCAAGATTTTTAAAAATAACCCATATACCTTATTTATTTATTTATTTATTTATTTATTTATTTTATGGAGAACACTGCATCCTAGATACCAAAATAGCCTATCCAAATGAAAAAAATATATTGTCAAGGAAACCTCCTGAGTTAAGGTTTGAAAATGTATTTGCCCTTGGTTAATATACTGCAGCTCAGTACACAAAAGATGAAAAATGGCTTATCAACAAATACATTCATGAGAAAGGAAAAAAGGATAATCTCAAAATAGGTAATTTATTTCCAGATAACTTTTGTGAAAACAGAATTTTTTTCTATTATTCATTTATTTCAAAGATCTGAAATCGATGTTACCAAATACTGACAAAATTAAGAGATGCAGTCATTCATCTCCAGAGAATGGAATGTTAAGCCCATGTTATAACTGAGGTATCTGTCTAGAAACTCATTTTCTAAAGGATTAATTGCTATCCAAAAATGTACTGTAGCCAGTTACAAAGGAAGATTTCAAAAATACCAATACTCTTTATTACTGTTTATGGGTTATATAGGCTGTCACTGAATTCCTATCTCTTATTAAGTGAAGACAGTAGAAAGATACAATGAACAGAAATTTTGATTTTTAAAATAAAAAGTCAGCTCTTAAATGTGGCTGATTAGAGGAAATTCTAGCAATAAAATAAATTGAGGATTTCAGGCTATTAGATTTTACTTATCTAATCTCTGAGTGATCCCTATTATCATTTGTCATTATTACTAAATATCTATATGTTTGATGATGCTATTTGTTCAAGGATTGACTTTCAAATTTGAATAAACAGAGCGATCAAAACCGTGAGTTTTTCTCTAAGTTCATTAGGGATGCTAATATGGAAGCAATCACTTATAATTGTATCATTGAATCTTTTGTCCTTTAGATTGTAAAAAATGAAAACAAACAAGGTGATGTTAGTCCCTCTCATTATAAGTTTGCATAGTATTGCAGTAAACATGTGAAAGTTGGCTATCTTCAATGGCACAGTCGAGGTTTTCTACTAAATTACTTCCTCAAAACATTGAAGAAAACAGTGCCTCTGAATGGGTTATTTGTTCTCTTTCAATAGAATATTTTCTCTTATATTTTCAAGCCACCATTTTACAAAAAAAAAAACAAAAACAAAAAACCTCTATAAATAATTATTTTTACTTCTAACATTAACTGAAACCCTTCTTGATATTGAATAGGGAAACAAATTATCTTTAAAGCTTCCTGGAACTCATTTCAGGTTTACTACCCAAAGCTGACCATCAAAATAACTGGTGGAGAACACCCTGTTAGTATCAGAAACCATCAGGCAAACTGCCCAGCTCTTTCATTTTTCTTGACAAATACCTAGTGGTCTCTATCTGGGAACTTTATTACCTCTTTCAATTTGCTTTCAGTGCCATCACGTCACTATTGCAAGGTATTTTTGTTTCAGAATTTAGCTGGCAGCAGAATAATTAAAGAGAGCAATGTGAAAACAAAACAAAACAAACGGTATAGTATTTAAAAAACTGTCGTTACTTTTCAAATTGTAGTCTTTAATAAAGGTGTGAGGGACTTTTTTTTCTGACCTTATAATTCAGGTTTCTCACCATTGTATTGTCTTCATTTCATTTTTTTCTTACTACTTTTTTAGTCAAGGTCAATTTTTTTAAAAGCGTGGGTAGTTTAGCATGTCTTTGAAGTTAATTCACAATTATTAATATGTAGTTACTCAGAAGATAAAGAAAGAAATCAGTCCTCACATTTTACCTGCTCACTTTCTGGTCCTTATAAATAAGAGTTGAGAAAGAAAAGTAATACAGATTTCTCAAAAATGAATGACATATATTTCCTATTGAATATATCTTTAAAATTATTTGGTATCTTCTTCAAACTCGATTTTATTATTTTCCAGATCCTTCTATTATTTCTAATATTAATTTATACTGCTTTTAAATATTTCCACAGAAAATTTATTAACATTTCCAATATTTAAATCCCTGTATTGTCAGGATGATTCTGATTTTGAAATATAAATATCTGAATATTTATTTCAATCTGACTTTTTGCATTAATGTTTACTTATTAAAAATTAAAAACTCATTGTATTATTATAAACATTGTTATCCTATTGTTTGTGAAGCCAGTTTTTACTGAAAACAGTTCTATTCGTTTTTATAAAAATGATTTTTTTACTCCATTCCATTAACAACAAGGAAAAAACTTTTAGACCACCAATCACACATCTATTTTCTAACTAACACAAATAAGTTTCAAAAGTAGCCAGTGCTATTGATTGAAAATATATTTCAATAAAGGTTACCTGCACATCAAGCAGATAAAACAGTAAATGAAAAGTACACGTTTTCAGACACTTATTTTCCTTACTCTTTCAATGTTTGAATTACGAAAAAAAAAATTCTGCTCAACTTTGTTACAGTTAATATGGTATCTGCCTTTTCTTCTGCCAAATCCTATTTAAATTTTTAATGAGGCAAATGTTTTATTTGACTAAATTAATTTTGCATTCATTATCTTCTGTTTAAATACATTATCACAATAAAAAATAAGGTAGACTAGTTTCTTAGTTTAGGCTGCTATATCAAAATACCTCAGGTTAAGTAATTTATAAATAACAGAAATTTATTGCTCACAGTTCTGGAGACCAGCAAATCCAAGATCAAAGGCCCAGCAGATTAGGTGTCTTGTGAGAGCTCTTCTTCTACTTCAGAGATGGTGCCTTCTTGCTGAGTCCTCGAATGGCAGAAGGGGCAGGCAAGCTCCCTTGGGCCTGTTTTATAAGGGCACTAATCCTATCCACGAGGACAGAGACCTCATGACCTAATCATCTTCTGAAGGCCCCACCTCTTAATACCACCAGAATGGGAATTTGGTTTCAACCTATGCAGTGGGGTAGGAGGGGACACAAACGTTCAGACCTTCCCAATTAGCAACAAATAGTCTCATGTAAAATGAATGCTTTCTGGATTAAGAGGCTAAATGTTTAATTAGATTAATAGAATCAAACAGAAAATTCCATTTGTCTGGGATCTTTCAATCAAAATCTTCATTAATAGGAGTGATGATTCCAATATATTAACAATAATTGGTATTTGTATTACTTTGTACCAACGAAAAATTTTAATTTACTCAGGTTTACAGAGGAAAAGGAGAAAAGTGCTTTAATATTTGGTGCCTCATAGAGAGTAAAAATTTATAGCATAGGTCAGTATGTTAGAGTCCTAATGCAAAATCTTTGATTTGTATGTAGTGTCCAAAGGTTTTTCTTGCAGCAGTTCATTTGTCATGAGTACACCTGATATGTCATCCCAAGTTGTAACAATACCCAAGGTGGCAGTTATCTCAGAGAAGTCCAAAATAAATATTCTGTTACAAAATACTACTTAAAAAACAAGTTTCATTTACACTGAAGTCATAAAAATGTTGCAAAGTTTTTACATGTAAATATTTGTTCATTTTCATATTATATTTCAATTAATATAATAACTTCCCACATTCTACACTTTCAAAACTGGAATATAAGATTGACATCTACAACACAGTGATCTCCAAGGAAAATAATGCCCTACTGTCAGCAAAGATACAAAAATGATATCCGTGTTTAATAAGTTTCATCAAAGATAATTTCATTGCCATTTGAACTGAACTAAAAAACCAAAATAAATACTGATGACCTTACCTTCTTGAACTGCTTGAAAAGGGTTGTTGCCATCAACAAACGTCACTGAAAATGTGATTTTCTCAGTCTGTAAGATCTCCTCATTCTGGTTAAGGTCACCAACTGCTGTGCGAAACACCTCATCATCCTTTTTGGCAGATTCATCAAAAATTGCTCCTAGAAAGAAGTGAGTTTTGCCATTAAATAATAACATAAATATTCTGTCATGCCCTCTGGAAATATGACATGGAGACTTATGTATTTAAAAAACATATACATTCACTTAAAGCATGCACTTTACTTATTAATGAAACACATTATACTGGAATCAGTATAATAGCTGAGAAGGAATATAATTACTTCTTTGAAATGGAATGATAAAGAGTACCTCAAAGTGTTATTGCAGGGAGATCATGGGGAAGAAAATGTAATAAGTATCAAAAGCTTCTACATGACAAAGTATCCAATACATTGGATGTCTTATATCATGAAACCTTTAAGGAATTCATAGCTGGAAGATTTCTTTTCTGAATAAAAGGAAATAAGCTCAGAAAACTTCCTGAGGTCAATTCATAGAACATATAGGAATCAAATCATTCTGGTGATCTTAATTTATTTTTCATTTCCTTCCTTTCTTCCCCCCGCCCTCCTTTTTTTTTTGAACACGGGTATCATTATCTTTTATAGTAGTAAAGTCAATAATATTTATAGAAAATGTAAAGACATTCAAATCTCTGTGCAGAGGGAATGGAGAAATACTTCTCAAGGAACAAATGTAAGTCCTAATGTAAGTCCTAATTATAGCATTTTTTATACATGTGTAACTATGATGATGATAAACACTGTGCTAAATTTTATTGAGTATTTGGTTGGTAATGGCATATTTGGTAAACACATTGATTCTAAGGGCAAACTGATTTTAAATACTGACTCTGTCACTTGTTAAGTATGCGACCTTGACCAACATGCTCAAATTCTAAACCTCACATTTGTCTAACCTCACATTGTATGTATTAAACACATTGGTCTAAACCTCACATTGTGTGTATTAAATGATAATATACAGTGTGTATTATTATATACACAGTGTGTATTATAAAGCCAGTGTGAAGCTGGCTTTATCTTTTCACTGCTCTTTTTGTCTGGTTGGTTGCTTGGTTTATTTTGAGATGGAGTCTTGCTCTGTCATCTAGGCTACAGTGCAATGGCGCGATCTCAGCTTACTGCAAACCTCCGCCTCCTGGGTTCAAGCCTTTCTCCTGCCTCAGCTTCCTGAGTAGCTGGGATTATAGATGCACACCACCACACTCGGCTAATTTCTTTTTGTATTTTTAGTAGAGACGGGATTTCACCATTTTGGCCACGCTGGTCTCGCGTTCCTGACCTCAGGTGATCCACCCGCCTCAGCCTCCAAAAGTACTGGGATTAAAGGAGTGAGCCACGGTGCCTGGCCATCGCTGCTCTTTCATATTGGCATGGATTGTATCAGTCTCCTCAAACCATTGCCTTGTTTCCTATATATTTTGAATACCTGTCCATGGCATGAGAGAAAATAATGAAGAATTTTTTTTTTTTTTTTGAGACAGTCTTACTCTGTCGCCCAGGCCGGAGTGCAGTGGCGCCATCTCGGCTCACTGTAAGCTCCGCCTCCCGGGTTCACGCCATTCTCCTGCCTCAGCCTCCCGAGTAGCTGGGACTACAGGCGCCCGCCACCACGCCCGGCTAATTTTTTGTGTTTTTAGTAGAGACGGAGTTTCACCATGTTAGCCAGGATGGTCTCGATCTCATGACCTCGTGATCCACCCCCCCCCTCCCCCCGGCCTCCCAAAGTGCTGGGGTTACAGGTGAGAGCCACTGCGGCTGGCCAGAATTTTCCAAATTGACATATAAATTGAGTACTTCCTTAATATGTTATTGGATGTTTACTAACCAGAATATTAATATTTTATCAATATAATTTTATTAATATATTTTTATTGTATAATGAAATTTAATTTATTAAATATGAAATATAAATTTATTAATATAATTATATATATTATATACTTTAATTTTTACTTAACCTGTCTTTTCTGAACCAGATAATACTTTTTAATCTAAGCCCTTGTGAAAACATTTAGACAATAAATGTTTGACCTATCTTGCTAATTTAAGCAACTTTCATAAGAATTATTTTAATATGCGATAATCCTTATGTTTATCTAGATTAATAATTACAATGAAATTTAATACTATCAGGTTTAGATACACAAATTTCCTTAATAGTTTGTTAGAAAGTATGATACAAATTTTTTATAATTGAAGCTGAAATAACCAATTCATTTTAAATCAGATAATCTAAATGTCTACTCACAAAGTAGTAATGTGTATTTATACAAAGATGTTTCAACTTGTCATGGATTCTAAATGAGTCTTTAAAAAAGAGCTTCTAATCAACCTTGTTTTATAGCAGGTGATGTTATTGACTTCTGCTGTATTGGTAATACATTTTTGGTGGAAGCATTTTACTATTACATGGCAGAACACTTAATATTGCCTTAAATATTCAACTTGGCTTAATAAACAGCAGAAACCTGTGGAATCGATAGCACATTAGTCAATCCTTTGCAGAATTAAGATATACTGAAAAAATGGATAAAAGAAACAGTTCATCTTTCTGCAAACAGCAAGGAAGTACACAGAAGAAACAGTTCATCTTATTGCAAACAGTGTAATCAAAGAACAGAAAATCTTATCCAACATTTCAAATCCCAGTTATTTATTTACATTTTTTCTTCAGCTATAAAAATCTCATCTTACACTGACTTTGTACTAACAGAGTGCATGCAGTATTTTGTCTTCAACACAAGCATTCTGAAAACAATGTGATATAGTTCCACAGGAAGGATCCTGGAACAGAAATTCCTTTCTAATTTCACCCACTTCCAATAGTCAAAGCAAAGTCATCTCTTTATTCTTTGTATTAATACACAAATATTACCAGTCTAGATAACCCAATACTGTATGTACTAGATCTACTTTTTTAACTATATAGTTGCTCAAATGTAACATTCATAATTATGTAGTTAACATGATGTCAAAGCATCTAGATCCTTCCCAGGTATTTTTATTAGCATGATTTTACCGTCAGTTTTATTTTATAACCTTCATGGGAAAAGCAGATTAGACCTGTCACGATAACATAATTACTATACCATTGATATACACACACACACACCACACATGGCATTTCATCAGTACTCTATATGCACTTCTTATTGGCCAAACTGAAGGGAAGAATAACCAATCAATAAAGCAGGAAAGGAACGCCTCCTAAATATTCCTATCATAGCAATTTTTAATTAGTCATTTCCATCACTAAAGGTTGATATTCTGTTGCTTTTATGGGGGAGAAATAAAGGCTTTATGTAATCCTTATGCAAACATACTGACATGCAAGTGGCCAAAATACATATATTTTAAATGAAAAGTATATCATGTTTACATGTCTTCTTATATCTTAGAAAAATACTAATGTTAATGAGTTTGTACTATATATGTAATGCTACTGCAAACAATTTTCATGGACTAATGGACCAACTGGCATATATATGAAAAAAATACCAACTTTAGGCAAAGTTCTACAAAAATATAATTGTCAACTTAATTACAATGTATAGTAATATTAAAGCAATGCTAATGTCTTAAATTGTCATTGTGAGGTGTCATATGTAAAAGTATTAATGCAGGTATGCCCTTTGAAAATTCATAAATTATTATACAATTCAAAGTTATAAAACCGCTAACTGACAAGCTATAGTACTTCTGTTAAAAAAAAAAAAAAATAATTATGTTATAGGAAGGTATTTAAATATTCCCAAAATACATATACTTACTTGCCAATTTTTAAAATGACAATCCAATTTTTTTCTTTAAACCTAATAGATATATGCTTGGGGTGTGTGTGTGTGTGTGTGTGTGTGTATGTAGATTTTTTGAACTTGAAATAAGTCAGTACTTCAGACCATAAAATCATTTCACCCAAAAATACATTCACAAATATGCCTTCTAAATAAAATATTTAAAAGTTCACTAACCTAAGCAACTCAACAAGTCTCCAAACATTCGAAGATTTTTCTCCTTTGTGGTTTTATTTTTGGTGTTTCCTCTACCATGGAGGTAGTCCTTATCACATTAGCAAAATACAATTTCCTAGGCCATAGAAACTATTTTTATACTTACATTGTGTATAAAAGAGCCTGAATATTTTAGACACTCGAGAATCACTGATTAAACCTTTTTTAAACATTAAATTAGGTATAATCTTGTAAAATAAAATACCTAAATTCAGATGTATGTATAAAATATTAAGTTACACCTAAACCTAAATTAAAACAAAAGTAGACTTAAAAATGTGCTTGCATGTTAATTTGTTGTCACAGTCATTATCACGATTCCAGAAGACCCAACTTAGCAAGGTAGTAATCATACACAAGGTGATCAATAATCGTGTTAAAAACTTGTATTTTAGTTTGAATACTGAAAATTTTGTGTCTTATAAATTTAAGAGACAAGTAGAATAAACATTATTTACCTGAGGGATAGTAGAGAAAAAATGTGTTCATTTTGCACATAATTTCCTCTGAAAATATTGAGAAAAATTTTGATATATCTTGAAGAAATTTTCCACAGCAAATAGAATTATCGGAAGATATATATATTCTATAACAAACCTATCAAGTTGTATTTAAAATAAAAGACTCTAAATATTGAAACCAGCATGAACACATCTACATTCCTATTGCACAATCAATAGCATATCATCTAGCAAAACTTTATAAAACATTTGTGCACAAATGTTTCGTTGAATGTCATAGTCCCAAATAAAATCAAAGATGGCTGATCTTCATGTTTTTAGTCACAAAGTTCTAACTTTCTACTCTCTTTTCTCACTTAATTTTAACTAACATATAAATTATATATGGTAGGTAATCATAAAAGGAATAAACTTCATTGAAAGTTAGCAAAGGTGCTACATGCAATGAATATTTTATTTTCTTTGTCACAGCAGGGATGATTCTTTGGTTCATCCTCTCTCTTTCTCTATCCCCCAAATTTTTCCCCTCACTTTTTCTCTTTATGTTCACATATTCATGCATCTAGCCATTCATCCATCTATTCATCAAACCAATCCTTCC